GCGACAGTGAGAGCCCATCTCAAAAAAAAGCTGTTCTCCCAGGGGCGGTGCATCAGGTTTACCTGGAGCCCGATGCCCAGGCTGCACGCGGGACCCCTGTCCTCTGCTCTCATCCCCTGTCCTTGTGCCCTGCCCGATCTTTGCCTCAGGTTCTCTGAGTTTGGTATTTTTGATGTTTTTCAGTTGTCTTAGTGGCATCTTGAATTCAAATATCAGAGTGCAGGGCGGTGCACTCTGAGGAGCTGGGAGGTGGACAGTCGTCAGAACTCACCCCCACAAAGCCCCCGCCCTGCCCCACGGAAATACACACGCTGTGTTCCTTGACTGCCCTTCCCTACCAGGTCAAAACCATGTTCCAGGGCTCTGCCCAGGGTCCACACACCCTGCGTCTGATGGGGCCACCGGACACCCTCAGCGTGTGTGACAACATCCTTGCTGCTCCTGGAAGCCTCCCTCCTCTCACACCCACACATGCACCCTCACCAACAGCTTCCCAGAATATGGTGTCAAGGCTCTGATGGTGTCCAGGTTGATGTTGTCAAGGCCCTTAGTAAGTGTCCAGACTCACTTCAGTATCCCCTGGAAATTCAAGAGCACGTGGCTGAGAGCAGTGTTTCAGACACATGGACTGTGACTGGAAGTCGACACTGGTGAAAAGCACTGGAAACTCAGGCTGGGGAGATCACGGGTGGACACGGAAGCGAAAGTGTTGCAAGGACTTTCAGACAAAACACTTTCGCTTAAACCTCAGAGTTCTGCCAAGGTCCCGGTGCAGCCCAGAAAGAAAAGTGAAAGAGAGCACAGGAGAAGAATCCCTCTCCTCTAATTTGGGTTGGCGTCTGAGAGTCACGTGGGCGAGGAGGAGGTGAGGCACAGGTCCAACCTCAGCACAGACTGAGAACCTGACGGGCCCCGGGCTGCCAAGTCCACCCCTGCCACAGAGCAGTGTGGCCCCCCTCCGCCACCGAGCCTGCAGTTTCCACCCCTCCAGCTGTGAATGGCAGGGAATGACCTCAGGACACTGGATTGGGGACAGAAAAGACAGAACAAGCAGCCGCCACTCACTCAGTCCACCTGCAGCCCATCTGTGCTCTTTGAGGTCCTGAAATCACTCCACGTGCTGCTGATGAGGCCGCCGGCGGCAGCCCACACTCCTGCCTCGGGGTGGCCGCACCTGCTTCCCTCTTCCTCAACCCACCCAGGTTTCTGCAGGACTGACCTGCCCCCTGCTGGCCTCTGCTCTGATGCTTTCTCCGCAATGAGGCCACCATGGTGATGCTACTGAGCAGCATCCTCCCCCCACACCGACTCCCCTGGGCACTCCAGGCCACCTCAGCATTATCCTTTATTCTGTGTAATCACCGCTGGCTGCACAGCATATCATACCCTCATAACTTTGCCTGCTGTTTGTCTCCTCCACTAAAACATGAGGCGGAAACAGTGCTTGTCACTCCCTGGTGCCGAAATCCAAGTCGAGCAGCCACCAGATCGTCCTCCAGCATCATCAAGGCTCTGATCCCACATACAGTCCAGTCAGCAGAGGGCAGACAAAGGCCCAGGGCACAGTGTTTTGCAGCAGGAGGCTTGGCCAATGCATTCTGCTCATTCCCATCACAAAGGGGTGGCAGTCTGCGTTTGCTTTCACTTTAAAAGGGACCCAGTACATGTTTACCAGATTGCACTAAGGTGGTCTCAGTAGGCTGGCCAGCCCCTGGCTGTAACTTGTGCCCCAGGACTCCCCGTGATTCAGTGTAAGCCCCTGTACCCTGTGGCATTACATGGACAGCATTTTGCTCAGAAGCCCCTAGAAGAAGGAAGTGAAAACCACGCTGGTCGTTTTAGTGGCTTCCTCCATGACCATGGCTGGGCCACAACCAACACACAGTGGGTTCACAGTAGTAAATCCTTACAGCAGTAAAGATTCTCGGGATCACCTGGCCCCCATGAGCCACCACATTCCCCTTGCAGTTAAAACCAGAGTCTTCAGCATTCGTGTGCCAGCCACTTTGTGGCAGGCCCTGCGCATACTGGGACATTCTGCTATGGAGGCACCTGCACCCCACTTGTCCGTTCTGCTGAGGCACACAGATGCCACCACCCAGAAGCCCTCCGCACCTTACTGGGGCCACAGCAGAATACAGCATGCAGCTGGCCCAGCAGGTGGTCTCCCAGGCAGTGCCCAGGTCCTGCGTTGTGAGTTTCATATGGAAACTCACTACCACCAATCACGACTCCCAGAGCCTCTGGACCAAGCACGCCCATCCTGGCTATGGGCTTCTGCAGCTGAAAACTTCCTTGCAGCTGCAGATCATTATGCCCAGTTAAAAAGGTGGCTGCTATTGCACACAATGCCCTTATAGACGTGGGCACTACGGGACACGCTCGGTGCTGCTGTGCCCCCAGATTCTAGCCATGCCCCGTGTCTGATTCCTCCTGACAGAGGCTCAGCCGCTAATGTCTCCCTAGGAACATGGGGACAGCACCTGCAGGACAGGCCAGACCTGGCACATGGGTCCTTCGGAGGGGGCAGGAAGCTGAGGCCACGCTTTTCTTGTTCCTCAGCCCCTGCCGATAAGCAGAGAGAAACCAGCGGCAGCGACCCTGTTGCCCAAACCATCGGTGACCTGATGGGGCCCTGGGAAGAGCCAGACATGGGGAGTCCCCATCCCTCAGGGAGGGCAGCACTGCCCTGCAGGCCGGAAGCCCTCTGGCCAGCAAGCACCTCCCACAATTGTCACTGCAGGGCCCACACAGGAGGTGGGCGGGCTGAGCCCAGCCATAGAGCCAGTGGTGCCAGTGCCGGGGAGGTTGCTGTGACCATAACCCCACCCGGGGTCGTGTTTCTGCAGATTCCTGGGCTGTGCCCAACGTATTGGGAGCACCCTGGAGCCAATGCCTGAAGGACTCTTACAGTTCTGGAATGGCCTCTGTGGGGTGCACCTGTTTGGTCAAACTAGGGGAGGCTCCAATCCTCCTACAGGTGATTCATGCCTCATGCATCCAGAACCAACATGCCCAGGCTATTTTCCACCACGCGAAGCGGGAGGCAGCCACCGTGAGACTACACCCATCTCTGGCCTCCACACTGGGCTGCTGACAGCCTCTGACGTCCTGTCCCCAGGAGGTTAGGGCCGGACGCACCTCCCAGGGCCTGGGTGAGATCCTCTTTTTTAATAGACTGCAGGCCCTCAAGTTCCGTATTCCTCAGGTGCTGAGAGAGTGGACTCCCTAGCCTCAGGTCATGAGAGCTACAGCCACATTAGAGGGCACCCCACGCCACAGGTGCCTCCCACCGCAGCTCCAGGCAAGCAAAACTATGGCCAGTGCTCCCTTCCTCCTGGGCCATTGCCAGGTAGCAAATTGGCTTCACTGGGCCTCTCCCACCACAGCCAGCGCCTTCCGCTGTGCACGACCCTCCCATGTGTCAGTGACTGCTGCACCTGGACACTGGGCTCTGTGACCTCACCATAGGTGTCTATTCCCTCAGGAGTGACTGCATTCTTTTCTCATTTCCACAAACCTCATCCCATTTGCCTCACTATAAGGAGGAAGAGGAGGAGGAGGGTGGAGGAGGATGAAGGAGGGTGGAGGAGGAGGGTAAAGGAGGAGGAGGAAGATGGTGGAGGAGGAGGG